ATTAATGTGTTGATTTTGTGGTACAAAATAGAGGAAAAGTAAAAGCAGGAATAAAAATGAGCATTGCACTGGTCGGGTGTGGCTTTAGGAGGAAGCTGATTTTGTTCTTTATCTTTCATGCAAGAAAGATACAGAATATGAAATGCAGTGATTGACATGAAGGAGATGGTGATATCGGCACCTCTGACAAGGTTAGCGGGAGCCAGATTGAATTTTAAAGGCAAAGCAGAGGAGAGGTGACACTTCTGTGGCTGCACACCGAAAATGCTTCGTGAATATCTGCTTTAAGTTAAATGAAAAATGTTCATCTGTATTGCAGGGCTAAAAGATTTAATCAGACTGATGTTGCAGTTTTAATTAGGCTGGTGGGAGTTGTTTCAACAGTATAGGAATGTGCAAATAACTTGGCTAGCTGTCTACAAGAGGAGCCATGAAACTGAGTCAATGCACAGCTTTTGTTTATTCGGTTCGGCATTAATTGAATCACCGAAGCTCTGCTATGCAGGTGAAATTACTGTGGCTGGTTAAATTTCCCCAGTGGTAAAAATAACACTCCAGTTTCTGGTTGATCTGCTGACGTGCCCCATTTCTCACCGGATCCGCGTGGATTTTAACATGACTTATTCATGAAAAAAGTGACACCAGAAATGATTCACAAATCTGAGCGCGGAAAATAAAGACATATTGTTTTTGCTTTAGTTATGTTGTTGCGTTTGCGTTTCAGGCAGTGCTGTGGAGATACAAGTTCTCCCAACTAAAAGGGTCGTCTGACGACGGGAAAAGCAAGATCAAGTTTTTATTCCAAAATCAAGACTCCAAATCCATCGAAGCAAAGGTAATTAAATTTGACGGATGTTTAATGTTGCATGCCAGAAAATAAGTCAACAAGATTTTCAAAGCAGCACGGCTCTATAAAAATTAATCGCTCGTGTGTGATTTGAGGATTGATTTTCTGTCTCTCTCAGGAGCTGGAGTTCTCAAACCTCTTCGCAGTGCTTCACTGTATTCACGCTTTTTTCGCTGCCAAAGTCGCTTGCCTGGACCCGATGTTTGTGGAGAGCCAAGGCACCGCGACCACCACTGGGATCGCTTCTCTTTCCAGTCTCTCCTGTAATTCACAGACACCTAAGCTGAAATACGCCACTTGACAGGTGCTGCTTTCACTGACCCCTTTTAAAAAAGGACGCTGCACTTAATCATGAATGTGGCCTGTGTCGATGGTGGACAGGAGACCTGGAACACGTACAAACTCGGACATTATGGGGGGCAGCTGTGCGCACTGCTGGAATAAAAGACCTCTTTGTGAGAGATTACTTGACGTGTCTGCAGATTTCTCAGATTTCTGGAACAACTGTGGGCTGAAACTTCACAGAAAGACTCAATGGACACATAAGGTGTGACTCAAAAGGGTTTTTTTTAAATGTGATTTTGTCTCAGACATCCTTATAATCATTTACAAAAGAAAATGCAGTTCTTTTCCCAAGCCAGTCTGCTTTTCTATGTAATTTTATTGACCACTTGCAGTTTAAGCAACATAGATTCTAGCCTTTTCCCCACTTCAGATGGCACATCACTTGAATTTCTGCAAGGTAAAGCGTGGACACTGGATATGATGGTATGGTGTGTAATTTGTGATACTTGATACCTTACGTTTTCTTTTTTTGGTGTGTTTTTGAGGTGGAAACTTTTATCCATAATTCAATTTGCTGAAAGAAAAACCATTTTTCAGATTAGAGTCTAACTAAAAGCTAAATGGCAACATCAGTCTGGTCTTATAACACAAAATCAGTTTAATTTTGACAAAATTTAATTACACAGATGTTCGCTGGCAGCGTTGCTGGATGAAATGGATTTCTTTATATTAATTTCCTCTTTTCTTTATATACCTGTGTGAGGTAAGAATATGTCTATGTCTTGGATTACTGACTATGAAGGCACTTTGATGATCAGCTTCACCATCAGCTCAGCCATAAAGGGACGAAAACACTCGAAACATGATTAGAAACACCTTCCACGATGTTTATAGCACTTTTGATTTTTTACCCCCAAACCTGATTATGTAAATAAACACTGACATTCAAATGAACTCAAAGAATTATGAATTATGGTGATTACTTGAGGGATTACTTGTAGGGATTAAGGCATTTGTTAATTTGATGTGCACCCTAGACAACTAGGTAGATAGCTCATAACCTTGTGCTCTCTTCATCATTTACTCTATGGACCAATTTAGAGGAATAAAATCAGCTATGGTGTATTTTTGAAAATATTTTACCTTTGTTTTTTTGACCTGTAAATAAAACAAAGAGGAACTTTACATTCACAAATGAGAAAAAAGTAGGAGGAAAATAGAAATATGTAGCACCGTTGCCTCCAGATGTTCCAGACACCCCTTTAAACTCTGCACAAACTGTTTGTAATGCTGCAGAGCGACAGCTAAACTATCATAGTCAAAAAGAGTTCAGGTCAATTAGCGCAATTAGTGATGCTCTTACCTTCCATTTACAAAGAGGAATCCAAACACAAGGGGCCCGTTGGTAAGTAAACTCTAGAGGATTGCGAATTAAACGGGGTCAGTGCTTTGTACTGTGCGGCCTTGTTAAGCTGATACGAGTGTTTGATGGGAACTAATGGTGGTGCAGTCTATGCAAAGAAAGTCTGAGCTTTTGTGCTTTAAAATTATCCTGGTCGCATATACCCTTATAACACGAGATCTACAGAGTGAGGTTGATTTTATTTTTTGCAGATGTTTTATTAACAAATATCCTGTGTAATAAATGAATAAATGAGACCTTTTATATCATGGCTCACTTGTGGTCGGCTTTACTTTTTTACAGTTTCTGGCTACGCCGCTGATTTTACGAAGAGAACTCACTTTACTTTTCTTGAGAAGTCCTCAAAGTTGTATTTCAAAATTCTAGTACATATCCGGGTCAACTCTCCTTTTTTTTGTCAGCAATAGAGATGTCATTATACTCATCTTTGCTGAGGTTCATAAAAAACTTTTAACACTGAATAAAAGATGCCATTGAGTACTCAAAGTCAAGATTTCTCTGCCGCTGCTCCATTTTCACATATTCTTCTTTGTGTCTGCCTTTTGTCTGTCCCCACAGTGCGCCGCTGAGCTCCCTTTAAAGTCAGAGAAGCCTTTTTTTCATATTTGTGCAAATTAAAAAATCAGTTTTAAACAAATGGTATATACTTGACTTTTTTTTCAGTAGTTTTAGTTTATTTTAAACTTTTGTTCTCAGTTCAGTTCAGCTCACATTTACTTTAGTTTTTATTCTTTCACATTGCTCCATTGTTAGCTTTAGCTTTTCGTTATTATAATGCAGATGGTGTATGTCAGACCCAAAGTTTGAGACGTTTACATCAGGTATTATGGGACAAACACACACAACTGAGGGCACTTTGTACATATTTATACTTTAGTCTTGGGAATACACTTCTCATTTTTCTCTTTAAACTCCTTTATTTTGGTTAACCAAAACAGTTTTCCACACTGTTTTTGGCCTAGTGTTACTTAGATATAAAAATCCTTGGGTAAAGCAGATTCATAAAGTGTACATTTTCTTAACAAGCAGCACTGTGATGCTGCATAATTAAACTGGGCAGCCAAATCCACATTACTTTCTACTATTAATGTCAACTATAATGTGCTAAACACATTATATTAACACATATTTTAAATATAGACATTATTATATTATTAGAGCTGTCTTAGAGGCAGGATACACCCTGGACAGGCCGCCAATCTGCTGCAGGGCTAACACATAGAGACAGACAACGATTTGCACCTATGGGCAATTTAGAGTTGCCAATTAACCTATCCCAACTAACTGCATATCTTTGGAATGTGGGAGAAAGCCAGAGTACCCAGAGATAACCCACACAAACACAGGGAGAACATGCAAACTCTACACAGATGGCGGACCTTCTTGCTGGGAGGCAACAGTGCTAACCACTGTGCCACCGTGCTGCCCCTCTGGAGCATTTAGTTGTGTTTTAATACAACACCACAATCCCAGCAAATTCACTCCAAGGTCAGATTGTACAATGCTCAGTGAAGCTGCAAAAATCACCCAAGAGCTCTAGTACATCATAGACTTTAAAGGCCTCAGTCACATATGATAGAAAAACACTAAACAAGGATAGCTTGTTTAGGAGGGTCTCTGAGAAAAGCTTCTTCTCTATAAAAAGAACATGGCAGCAAAGCTGAGTTTCCAGTGTTACATCTGAACTAACTGCATGACTTTCCTGATCAATTTCTTTTGAACAGGTGAGACTAAAGCAGAGATGTTTGGCCATAATGCACAGCGCCATGCTTAGTAGAAACCGAACACGACACGTTAGCACAAATTTTATACCACATGTCAAGCACTTTGGTGAAGGGGTAATTATTTGTGTTTGTTTTGCATCCACAGGATCTGGACACCTTGCAGTCATTCAGTTGACCACGAACTGCTCTGCAAGTATTCTGGAGTCATATGTGACAGTGAAATCTAACTGGAAACTGGAGGTTTATAGGTCATTATAAACTGGTCATAGGTGTGTGAGTGCGAATGGTTGTCTCTCTGTGTTAGCCCTGCGACAGTGTTCCCTGCCCTGTGGTAGCTGGGATAGGCTCCAGTCCCTGATAAGGATAAGGTGAAGAGAATGGATGGATGGATCTTTTTCATGTCACTTTTTTTTTTAATTGCAGAGTTTACAGTTTCATAAATTTCACATTCATAAATTTGCTGCCAATAAATTTACCGAACTTTCCAAAGTCCATTAAACCCAACATTAGCCAACTTAGCTTAAATATACCATGGTCCAGTGGGTCATCAGATATTATTCACTCCACAACTACGATGTGACACAAGAGCAGCGGCAAGAAATCTAACGAGGAGAAAAAAAAAAATTGTAAGGACTCCTTTAACTAACAGACAACATTTAGACATCATTGGTAAATAAATAAGATTGGAAAAGCAGAGTAATTAGAATGATTAGAAGACACATAATGTGATCGTGACCTTTATTTTTGTGCCAAACGTTACGGAGAAACACCACATTTTCAAAATGAACTGCACACACTATGAGTAATCAACCTATGCCTGAAGAAAAAAAAAAAGCTAACAAAAAAAACAGGAATAGAACTCTTTTGGCTCTGAACAAATGATCTTAATATAAGAGCACATAATTGGTTATGACTTGGTATTTACCGGCTGCCATTTTTGTAGTCGAATCTCATCCACATTAAATGTAATCACAGCAGTCCCATTAACTTTGGTGCAAGGCGCGACCTGAGAGTCGAGGTTGTAGGTCCCCTGCTTTCAATACTTAATGTGCTCGCTAATTAGCAATTACATTTTCGATAATGGTATATAAACTGTTGCATGGCTGTAATTGGTCATGTGAATTTTAATGGATACCAGGCAAATAAAATGGGACTATGTTGTTATTGGTAATTATAAGCTGAGAAATTATTCCATTATTGCTTACTTGCACAGCTCTGCAATGAATTAATCTATTAAAAAAAAAAAAAAAAAGCCTTACAGAAAATAAATGTTACCTCTTCACACACAAAAACTACTAAATAGAATAACCAGCCCCGTTTTCAAACAAAATATTCGTCATTACACCAGAACAAAATGAAGACCTACAGCACTAATATATCTTATCTATTTAACAGACAGCAGTGGAGATTTGATCTACAGAGTTCCCAGTGTCAAGATACAGTACAGCAAGAGGGCGCTACAACAAATCAACTGCAACTTAATTCAACTGTATGCAGAATCATATGATAACAATACATATATAGATATATCACTTTAATATTGAATAGAATTAATATCAACAACATTCAACTCAGCTTTTGGAATACTAAATTTATGCATTCAAAGTAAGATGAAGGAACTTTCCAAATGCTGTGATGGTAAAGCGTGAAGAAAAACGGTGACCTGTCGGATCAGTGATGTGCCGTTTTGTTTTTAGGGTTTTTCCCCCCTTTTTTTTCTTCTTTGTTTTTTTTTTTTTTGTTGGTTTTTTTCTTTGTTTTTTGTTTTTTTCACTGTGGAATGTTTTTGTAGAAATATATCATCCTTTATGGGGGAAATTTACTGTGCTGGAAAACTCACAGAAGTCCTAATGTGATGGGGCGAGGGATGTTGGCACTTAAAAGTCATCACTATCAGGAAGGTTCTGCAAGCAAATTGTACTTAAAGAGGATTTACATTACATTAAGTCCAGTCCACAATACAAATGAAGCCCAAAAAAAGTCATCTTTTTATTTTTATTTTTTTTCCTTTTTTCTCTGTCTTGAGGACTGCAGATTAAGGTGCTTTGTTGTCCGTGATACAAAAGGCGTCAGATTTTGCATTGTTGTTGATTTTGTTTAAAAAAAGAAAAAAGAAAAAAAGAAAAGTACTATACAGAATTCGAGATTTGTGTCAAGGCCATCAATCTGGTTCACCATCTTGAAACCTTTTTTGTTGTCATTTGTAAAGAAACATTTCAAAGTTTGATCACTTGGGACATCACCTCCAGTGACCAATCACAAGGAGCAAAGTCAGGAACACCCATATACAATATATTCATGCATGTATTCATTATGGATGAACATCATGCCTTCACCAGTTCCCCTCGAAATTAGGTGAATATTTAAATCACCATCGTATCCATGTCACCCTTATTTTAAACCTCTGATGTGGTTTATTCAAATACTAAGAATTACATCATTATATTATAAGAATCCAGAACAGGGCAAAATAAAAAGAGAGAAGGAGGCCCGCGACAGCCAATCAGATCAGGTAGTAGTGAGGAAACAAGAATGTCAGCACCCTGTAGAAAAAGTTTCATTAAAAGGTGCCCTGTAGAAAAAATTATGAACCACTCTGGTCTTTCAGTGAACTCTTGTAATAGGAAGTTATAAAACACATTAACCTGAAATGAAATACCAAGAAGAGTAATGACATACGTGCCCCATTCGGGCTTATCGGACATCTTACTCTTTAACTCTCTTTAACAAAAAAAAAAAAAAAAAAAAAGAAAAAAAAAAAAAAATGGGAGAAAGTGGCTTTATTTGCCTTTCAGTGTCTCCTCTCAGTATCATTAAATCATCACACACTGAAAGTAAGTTAAAGCTTCTAAAAAAGGTGCAATAAAAGTCTTCAACTTAGCATGATCGTATTTTAACAAATATAGTAAGAACTCTTTTTTAATACAATTTTTAATCTGCACATTTCTGCAGAAATTCTGACATTGCGATAAAATCTGAATCTCAAAATTGATTTTTGAAACTATTTTCATTTACTTTATATTTTTTTCCATTTATAAACCAAAAGAAAAACAAACAAACAAACATGTCAACAAAAAAAATTAACACTCAGGACAATCATAACATTATTATCCAATATTATCTGTGACGTCTCTTTCCGTTACAGTTTTGCCATCAAGATTAAGTGGAAATAATGCTACATTTGTACTGAAAAAAGATGAAGAAAAGCATTTCAGCATTTCGCTGCACCCATTAAGAAGGGATATCAAGTGAATAAGTCATTTCTCTCTGTAATACAGCAAATATGCCTTCAGTGACTCAGGCAGCGGTAAAGCCATTATTTGGTCTCTCAACACGTTCACTTGCTTGAGGATTTCAATGTCGCCAATGTCTCTGTCCTCCTCTTCCTCCACCTCTTTGTGCTCTTCCTCGGTGTGCTCCTCCTCTTCGCTCTCCACCATCCGCGGGATCAGCTGGTTGCCTACAAAAACGTAAGTGTTGATGCGTCGCCTGCGACAGCGCCTGCGTTTGCGCTTCTGGGGGACTCTCTGCGTCGTCCCCTTTCCCTGGCTGTCCTCGTTGGCCAGGTTTCGGAGAGTGCGGCGTATGTAGATCCGAGAGAGATCCTGAAGGCTGCGGACAGTCACTGGGGCTGAGGACAAAGAGAGATGACACGGTGCTTCAGGGCGGTGCGCCACACAAATAAGAATAATCCATACAGCCGCACCAGTCCTTCAACTAGGTCAGCATAAACGAGCGAGGACGTGAAAGAGAAAAGTGTCTCGGTATTTCAAGGAGAGGAATAACTGGGTCTAGGAAGCGGCCTCGGGGTGAGCTTCATATGTCAAAGCCAATATCGCTACAGGACTCGACACATCACGCGTTGAATTTAAAATATTGCCTGCTTTGCATTTCAAGATGAGTTAGAGATAATGAAACACAAAAACTGGGAGGGTTTTTTTTTGTTTGTTTGTTTGATGAGGCGTGGGAACTTACGCAGATGGACAGTGTCGGGCTTCTCTCCATCAGCTCTGCTCTGCTGGACCAAGGGGGCAAAGGACACCGCCAAGATGTTTTTGCTTTCCCACGTGCTCTGGCCAGTCCTGGTTATCTGGGTCAGCTGTATAAAGAGACAAAAACTGAACTTTACACTGAAAAACATCAAATGCTTCATATTTAGCAAGGAGTGGAAACATTGGACTCAGGTGAATCAAAAGATGACTTTTACTCGAGTCGACATGTACACCTGTTACTGTGGGTGTAATAAATCCCAATCCAATAAGAGGCCTCTATCACACCACCATGGGGAAAAGTCATCCTTCTAACTGCTTCCATCCACACGCGCCAAGTCTTACACAACCACAGCATGCTTGTTAGGCTCATTTGAATTGAACAGACAAGCTAAAGGTAGCTTCATTTTGCATATACCTTCCAAATTTGGCTTATTCTTGTAAACTTAGCTGCAGGCTTAGACATCCCTGCCCCAAATCTCTTTCTCTAGCGGCTATAACCTGCAGGCGCTGAATAAAAATCAGAGGACCAAGGAGACGACTTCTGTCTGTGCTCCTCGTTCTTTCTCACCTTTACCCAGTGTATTCAAGCCAGAAACATCATTTAGTTTTATGACTTTTAGCATTTATTTCCAATGAGCTATTAATGGACTTACATTGTGGGTTAAACTTCATTGCCATACTTTTTTTTTTTTTAAATAAACAGAAGAAAAAATTTAACATGAAAGTTTCCAAATACAATTAGCTTCCAGCAAAGACTCAAAAATGTCTGAGCATTGCATAAAATTGTTTGGCTATTTAAAAGCAACCGCTAATCTGGTGCATTTAAACTCCTGAAAAAAGACATTTAACACACAGACGATTCAATTCTTAATTATTAATTAATTATTTTAATCAGATCTCTTTTGCAAAAGAAGAGTTAAGTAGAGAAAAGAAGCAGCAATATACAGCCTGCCACAATGCAAGCACTCCACTGCTGCTCTTACTAGAATCTGGCCGATACCAATATTTGTCAATTTAAAATCCGATGTATAAGCCTATACTTACTTTCTACCTTCTTGCAGACACATGACACACAAACAGATTTCGCTAACATATTTACTTGATTACGATCTGACGACTCTGCTAGGTTCAGTTGCTTGTTCCAAACAAGTACTGCCAACAGGAAAGTTGCGGCGTGCCCTCTAGTGGACAAACTATTCAATGTCAAAACTGGTTGAACAGTTTCTCCTGACACTTTTCCAAATTTTATGTATTGGCTACTGTAAGTGCTGTAGCAGCACATAGCTGACATCATCCGATAACATCGACCTGCTGATAAATCAGCCGGGTTCTAATGTGAAAGATAAAATTGAAACAGTAACATTTTGCATCTGAAAAGCTAAAAGCCTTAAAGTCTTTGTCCTTTTGCTTCATGACATATCAATATGAAAAGACAGAAGATTAATCCAAGAGACATAAATGATTACATGAGACATCAATCACCCATTATGTTGGCTCGGGTCATAACGAGTCTGCACTGTGACAGTTCTCAAAACACGTTTAAAGTCATTTGAAGTTGCTGACTCAGTGTGCACTGTTAGAACTTCGCAGGGGGAGGTGTGATGAGGCTTGGAGGGGGGCTGATAAAGAAGAGGCTGTGAAGTCCATCCATTCATAGCCATCTGTAAGGGGCACAGACATACTGCAAAGTCTCTGTGTGATTAAGACAACCATCTTCTTTATGATAGCATAATAAATCCACAATTTTCCCAATGTCTGTATTTTTGCCATAACCGAGCAGTCTTTGGCTTTACTCTGACATTTTTCCAAGTCTAACAGTAATTCCCAAATGAACGCATGAAGATTTTTATGGTTTGCTTTGGACATCCATAAAATTCACTTCCTTGTGTCAATGTATAAAATGAGTGGGGGGTGGATGGATACAGATAATAAAGTTTCTCAATGCTGCTTCCGCACAGCATAATATCTGAACAGTGCTGAAGGGTGTCATTTTCAGAAAGCTCCACACCGCCTTTCCGGTTACTGAATGGGTGTTTCATATTTGTCCACTCTGGGGAGTAATTTCAAAAAGCTCCAGAGGAGATGGAGATGGGGGATGTCAGCTTGGTGCTGATGAAAGGCCACAACAGAGGAAAAAAGATGCATTTTGAAAATTATCCACATCAGTGTGAACATGGCCTGGGTAAATCTGGGGCTTTAGTGCTTTCAAGCTGTTAGATCAGAATTGTGTTAATTATTTTCTCTGCCATGATTAATAACTTTGCTGCTCCCCTCTCCCCTCCCTTTTTACTTTATTTAAAAAAAAAAAAAAAAAAAAAGTATAAAATCTGATTGATTTCCTTTAAGCATGTTTTCCCTCTATGGTCTGACTTCAGAGTGCCATCCTGTATAACTACTAACATAAAACATTCAACCCTTGGGTCACGATATCTTATCAAGTCCAAGCTTCGCTTTACTTCAGTTCCTTTTATGGCCCAAACGCACTGACCATGAATCTGTCACAATCTTTAAACTTCTTACTGGAAAAGGTTGCTGTCAACCGTTTCCCCACCAACATCCCGAAATATCCTCAGTGCCCTCTCACATGCCCTGCAGACTGTCCACACTCACCTGTCGTACTTTTTAAATAAAACATTTATTTATACAGCACTGTGTGTACTCTGTACACGGCTGCTTAAATCCAGGTGCAGCCGCGGCTCAATAATGCATGGGAAAGTTTCATAACTAAGCCTACTAGGTCAAAGCCATTTTCCCTTGTTTTCCCTTGTGCGTTAGCATTTTGAGCAGCAATCACAATGTGTTGATTTCGTATCAGTCCGGTGACTTGCAGCACTTACCTGATCCTCTATAGGCATCACCAGAATGCCTCCAATTTTGAGCAGTACTTTCATGTAATTTTCATGGTCCTTTTGCACTCCAGCGCCACAATAAATGCGATCGTACTGGTGGCTGTCTGTGGAGATTTCAAGGCAATTCCCCACCACAAAGACAGGTTCACAGAACTCAAACCTGTGAAAGAAATAATCAGACAGGTAAGGAATAAAATCATGTTTTTGGGGTTTTTTTTGCAAAGCCCATCACATTTGTAGATTGTGGCAGAAATATACATGAGAGATTACTTATTTAAGACGGCAAACGGTCACTAGTGCCTCCTATTCAGTAACAGCTACTTCTTTTTCAAGAGGACACTTTATGTTTTGGGGGATACATTTATTAGCTTTTTTTTTTTGGCAGGGCGTTAGATAAGAGGATTGACTCTCACTCTCATGTCTTTATGATAAATATGCAGCTGGAGCCAGCAGGTGGTTAGCACAGCTAACCCATTTATTGCACCGGTGTGACAATTAGTAACAGATTAATGCATTTAAAGGCTTATGAGATGCCACAACAGAGCAGAGCACTTTGTAAAAGTCACACACAGCATTCAAAAACTGTGAAAAGCCACAACTATTATAAGTAAATTATGTGCAATGAATAAAACTTGGGTTTTTTAAAATCTATTTTTCTGTAAGAAAAAAAAAGATCAAAGAAGTCTGCACTATAACCCCCCCACACACCAAAAACCAAAATAACTGCATGACTCTTTTAGTGCCTCAACTTACCATAAATGTATTCAATCTTTTTTGCAAGCAGCAGTCAATAAGACTAAATTGGCCAACTCTGATGTTTGACAGATAAATTGGTGCATCACAAACAGAAATTCCGTATTTCAGTAAGGCAGAAATCTACCAGGGATGAGCACTTGCATACTGAGAGGAACCAGTGCGGTACCTTGCCAAGGACAATGCTTTGCAGCAAAAGTTGAGCTTGGTTCAACTTTTTTTTTTTGTGCCAAATGACTTGTTTTGCTGGAGTCCTTTTTTTTGGCACCCCACTGCACTGACTCACTGGCTTCGTTTAAATGAATGAGAAGGCTGCTTTTTGGGTGCAGGGCTAACGTCAGCCTAAAAACTGCCTGAACACTTACTCGTCGTTTTACAGGCGGTCATGTGCATAGCGGTTTCCTGCCGAGAGCCGTTCACCAGGCAACCACCAGCGATTCAGGTGAATGTGTAGTCAGAAAGTGAGCTTAAAAAAACATAAGCATATACTCACTTATCAAAGCTGTCGCTATTCTTTATGAAGTCATCCAGTTTCTCTCTGGCATATTCAACGACATCTTTGTGGAGCTCAACTCCATGGTTTACACCAAATGGCCCTAAGGGGGAGGGGGGGGACAAAAATGTGGCATATTAATTCATGGCCTCTGTTAAGCAAAAAAAAAAAAAAAAAAAAAAAAAAAAAAAAAAAAAAAGCCCAATTCTTGCTGATTTCTGCTTCTCAAATCTGAACATATGCAAATATACACTGCTTATCTGACATTTATTAGGTTTTTAGTGCTATTTTTGGGGAACGTATTATAAACCAATTGATCGATGAAGACCATATTCAGTAGCATCAGTGATGTCATTTATTGAAGTTACTTAATCATTTCCTCTAAATTTGTCCATGTAGACTTTAGAGAACATCTAAACACCTCCCACAATAAGGGTAAGCCAAGATTACCTATGATGAGGCCAACCATTGTGCTCAGGTAGCCGGTTCCACTGCCCAGATTGAGGAAAGAAAGTCCCGGCTGCAGTTTCAGTGCCTCCATCACCTCGGAGTATATACACGGAGCAGACAGGTGTATGTTACCGTGCTTCCAGGCCAAATCTTTGTAGGCATTGTCCCGATAGCCGTCCAAATAGTAGTCACCGCGGTCTATGGCCCGAAACGCCTGCTCGACTTTTTCTGTGCGGATATACTGAGCCTCCTTCAGGTTATCAATTAGGTCGTCATTGTCCTCTCCGGCGCTCACAGCTCCCCCCATGGTGAAAAGAGCAGAGGAACCCTAAGGGGTGAACTCGTATTCAGGATGACTGTTTCGTCCTCAGAGGTGCATGGAGATGAACGGCTGTGCTGCCGCTGTGGCTCCTCGTGTGTCAGTTCAGACAGAGTTCATGTCCAGGCAGCAAGTGACCTGAGAAACACAAAAAAGTGAGATGAACACACTATGACATTAACGCCTGTGAGGGAGCAGTGTCTGGTTAAATCTACAAGTGAAGTGCAGATTTAAAGTGCTGATAAAAACAGTTTTATTAATCCACAACTGGGATTGTCTTATGATGAAAAATTGATGAGTGAGAGAAAGGGACTAAAAGAATGAAACATGTATTTTACTACCATTTTTTTAAGTATCCCTTCAGGATGAAACAGATTTACAAAGTATTAAATCTGCAGTGCCTTTGTGAAAGAATGGCCATCAAGCTGTAATGATGAAACAAATCCAGTAGTACAGTGACAAGCAGGCTTCCCCTCTACTGGTGGTTTATGCTTTATCTAATGTATGTAGACCCTTTTCCCCAACACATATCAGGCATGTCACAGCACAAATACAGTTAGTGACCCTAAATTAAATTTTGTTACAGAGGCTGTGGAATAACACATGGCTCGCTGTTGCCAAAAGACAAATGCCAACAGTTCATCATTTAAGGTTTTAAATGCTATTTATAAACTGTTAGAGCCCTGCAAAAATGTGCTGGACAGAAAGAATTGCCAGTAAATCAATAGTAAAAATAATCACCAATATTTTCAGAATCACATTGGATCCTTTGACTTTCAGATATTTTCACAATAAAAACCTGCTGCGAGGCATTTGCAGCTGAGACTCTGTGCCCCCAATGTCATGTCATATTCTACTGTGCAGTCTGTTATGTCCACAGGGCAGATGTGGAGTGATGTAACAGAAAGCTGACATTAGAGGAGGGCAAGATGGACACAAGCTTCCATCACAGCACATATGAAAGTTTCTAGAAACAGCATTAAAACAGCCGTATTTCATACGGGTCCACATTTCCGATGCACGCTATTTTCTGCAAGTACCGCTGCTTCGCCTCTGGACGCAATCGGTCTCTATACAGTCCATTCTCTTTTGAGCTGCTTTTAAGCATCGTGTAATCGTCGTTCCAACACAGTGTGTTTGTTTTGATTCGTAGACCCCGAAAATGGTGCCGCGCTCCCACAATACATTGCGGCGTGACGTCAACTCCAAAGCCCTATGAGAAAACACAACAGTTTGAGGTTTTTTTCCTTCCCAAGCCAAAAATAATATCCAAATCTTGTGCAAGACTTCCTGATCCTCAGCACTGGCTATACAAGCCTGCACGCTGAGAAATCTCAAAGAAAAAAACCCAAACACAACTTCCCTAATGCAACCATTCCAGCAAAATCTGCAATGTGAGAGTTATCAGTTTGTACATCACCAAAATGTCAAAGCCCAAAGACTAGCCTGATGCTAATTAAATTACAGGTTTGTTTATGATAGATTATGATAAGAGATATCTACAAAGGCTTCCAGCTTCTTCCCACAGTTCAGAGACATGCAGTTAGTAGTTAGGTTAGTTGGAGAATCTAAATTGCCCATAAGTGTGAATGTGAGTGCAAATGGTTGTCTGTCTCTTTGTGTTAGCCCTGCATCAGGTTGGCGATCTGTCGAGGGTGTACCCCATCTCTCACCCTATGGTAGCTGGGATAGGCTCCAGCCCCCGGTGACCCTAACAAGGATAAACAAACAAGAATGGATGGATATCTACAAAGACAGACATTGTAAACATAGCCATTTAGAGCTCAACCAATATAGAATTTTAAACGTGTGTGGAGTTATTCATTCACTTGTTCTCCCTGACTTTGCTTGGATCAAGAGGTTGTGCATGCGCCCTCTACACAGCATCAAATCCTGTCATATCTTTACTTAAACTTACTTAAATTTCTATGTAGATAAATCACAAACAAATAGCCAATATCGACTGATAATATCGGCCTATCAGTCGGGCTATAAAAATATTTTAGTTGTAAGCAAGAATGTGCACATAATACAGTTATGTTGCCTATGATCCACTTTTATTTTCAGTTATATTATGGAGGGATTTTTTGTCTTCTAAATCTTTTGTACAGGTGCATCTTTGCCCTGCCCTAAAATGCATCACCCAGTCACCATCGAGCAGGTTACAATCAGCATTAGCCAAGACGACTGAGATTCTATGCCCACGAAAAAGGTAAAAGTCAAATAATTAAGCAAAACAAAAGTGTTTCAAGAAGTTTGTGAAGACACAACAGGACCAGCATATCAAACACAAAGAGTCAATAGTTTTAAATATTTGTATCTCAAGTTTGAATCAAATTAAGTGGGAGTGTTTTCCCTTTAGAAAGAAAGACAAAAAAAAAACAAAACAGCTCTAATTTTAATTTCTTTAAATATTTTATTACTGTTGATTGACCAGATACTTAAGCTGCTTCTGGCCACTTAACACAATTACACAAATAAAACTGCTGTTTATTTGAACTTCTTACAACTAAGCTCAGACTAAAGATGAGGTGTCAAAAAAAGGAATAAGGAAGGAAAGATGTCAAACAGCTGTGAAACCTGCCATTTAAGGCTGAGCTTCAGCTGAAATATGAACTGCTGTTTTGGTGCTTACATTACAAATAATGACCTGATGGATTTCCTATGTAATACAGCACAGTAGCTGTAAAGAGAAAACTCCTGACATGTGCCAGTTTCTCATCATTTTATAAATGCTTTGATGACAAAAAATATCAAACCCTTCACACCCTGTGATGCAGCCGACGGAGACAGGTTCTGAATTCCTTCTCTGCCTCCTCAGCATCTCCACATCTGACTCAGCTAATAAAGATTAAATTCAGAGGTGACTTTGTAGTGGGAGGCCTAGTAAGGTAATTTTCCATTGGCAAAAAAGGAACCATTGATTCGCTCACCATCACTTGATGCACAGCGGTGTATTTTTTTTTTTTTTAATCCTCCTTTTCACTCTGTAAGCATTGAAAGAAAATCCAGAAAAATGGGTCAGTGGAGGTATTCAAGAAAAGTGCTTTTGGGCACTGCTGTACACTCAAACCTCTGATTATCAACAAAGTCCTTTAAAGACAAATCAAGAAAGACCAGCCAGGCAATAAGCTTATTTTAAGCAAAGAAAAATACCTCTTTGTAACAAGTATTCACTGGTAAACACACACATGACGTCCCGAGTTGGGCCCCCCACAAACTGAAAGTGCGTCAGTGTATCAGGTCATGAGTGTCTGCTTGACCCGGTTATAAACACCTCACTGAACGTGTAACAGATCCTCCAGCAACACAGGATCAGCTCTGGAGCTGCAACCAAATACGACAGGCCTGTTTAGGCAGTGCACCAGTGCACCAGCACTCGACCGATCAGCAGACAATGTGAGGTAAACTGATAATCCCGATGGTTAATAGCATTTAGTGTGTAAACTCAGACAATTTACAGCCTTGTTGGCAAAAAACAAGAAACTAAATGCCTATGTGCCTGTGGCTTAATACCGCGGCACTTTTCCAACAGAATTTGTATTTGCAGAAAACTAATCGGTAAATCTTGTAAGAAAGGTACAGAAACTAGTCTCAATTGTGCTATAAAGAGCAGGCCGGAGTCATTCTGATGCTGTAAAGCTAGGATTCAAGCAATGAAAATAAATACAAGGTTCAATAGGAGGACTTAAAGCTGTTCACCTATAAAGTCTACTTTTATGATACCTATAATGTTAAGGCTCGCTGACACTCATAGTGAAGTTAATTCTATTACCCGTTTACTGAATTTCTACCAGCTCCTAAAGTTGGACATAAAATGCAGTCCAACTTCAAGGTCACTATGTAACTACATAATTATTTACCTTGTAAAGCTGGACTTTAAACCTGCATAAGAAGCTGTATTCGAGTACTTCATTTGTACTGGTGACAGATGAGGACATTCATGATTCAACTTTTGTTTTAATTTAAGTTTCTTGAGGCAAATTTATGATAGTTGTGTCTCAATTTTACTGCAGCAGAAAAAGTTAGGATCAAACATCTACTGCCCGTTTTGTGTGTTTATGTAATAATTAATGTAAGTAATTATTAGTACAATGTTGATGTCTGTTTTGCTCTGCAGAGAGAGATTTTTGGAATTCAACCAAAGGCAGAGGCTGGACTTGCATGCAGCCCTCCACAAAGCTAACAGCACGTTGCCCAACAGTAATGATGCTGTGCATAGGTTGAATGCTGATTAGTTTACAAAGTTGGCTTGAACAGGAGGAAAAAAAGCAACAGTGGAAGTGCAAGGAAGAAGAAAAAAAAAAACAACCCACATTAAAATGGCTACAGTGAACAGTTTACAGTCTTTCCACTGAGTTTCACTTCACTATAGGATGACTACCATCTTCCCTGTGGCATGAGCTGATCTCTTACGTTACTGGTCGTTCAACATACTTGTCTCCAGGTCAGACATAACTACAGCATGTAAATGGAGGTTTGCTTCGTAGCATCTGCACAAAGTCCTCCTGGAAGCAAGATGCACTTAATTTCAGTGGTCTCCAATACAGAACTACACGTATAAAATCAGTCAATTTTTCCCCAAAATAAAAAGGCAATAAAAATCTTTTTCCCCCGCTGGGAAATTGCACTTCTACCACCATCACTGTCATGTCTCCCCTAGATTTAATGCCAGGATTGTTTAATTTGCCACATCTCTCTTATGATATTTCTGACCTGCAGACCACCAATGCACTCCAATGTCAGGACCTTTCCATTTTAAAGAGTGCACCCAATAAGATTCAACCTAATTGTGTCATATCCATGTCTGTATCTGCTTAGTTCATGTGAAGTTTACCTAACGATACAGTAAATACATTTCATTGCAAGATCTGCACAAGTCCCATGAGAAGCTGCAATGATGGTGAGAGAATTTTCATTTAGGATTACTTTTGATTTGAGCCTGTTCGTGTTGTACTGAAAAGGCCAGATCTAAGCATTTCTACACTAAATGGTGCAAATGGTAATCGCTCTTTAAGATTTAATCTTTTATTTGCATGACAAACTAAGATCCTGGAGTCCAGTGTGCTGCTCACCATGACAACCTGCTGACCAATGTACAACCCGCGCACATGCAGGTCATGGAGAGGCTTTTCCTA